AGAGAAAGAAATTGATGAAATCTTTGCTTATCAATCTCCTAGATGGATATCTCCACCTGAAACTATGTGGAGGATTTTTTTATTCAATTTGACAAAGATTTATCCAACAGTTTATTCTTTATAGCTTCATATTGAAAATCATCATCAAGTAAGATATGATGATCAAGATGATTTATCTACTGTTATTGAGAATGAAAATACGAAAAGGACAATGTTAACAGAATTTTTTCGAATGAATGAAGCAAATGAATTTGCATGTACACTGTTGTATCGAGATTTCCCAACAAATTTTGTTTGGAATTCAACTAAGAAGATTTGGACTCTTAGAAATAAACAATTTGTTATTGGACGAATTGTCACAACAAAGCCATCTGAAGGAGAGTGATATTTCCTCCTCATTCTTCTCAATGATATTCGAGGTCCAACATCGTTCCATGATTTACGTACTTTAAATGGGAAAACTTTTAGTACATACAAAGAAGCTGTAATTTTATATGATTTGTTAAGCGGAGACAATCATTGTAAAGAGTGTTTATCTGAAGCTATTATTTATGAAATGCCTATTTCTTTAAGACGTCTCTTTGCTACTCTTCTTATGCTTTGCAACCCTGATAGTCCAAAGTTGCTATGGGATAAATTCAAGGATTATATGATTGATGATTATGTAAATAAAGATATAGCTCCAGAAGTTGTTGAACTACAAGCTTTAGAAGACATCAGTTCTGTTTTAGAATAATTTGGTAAAAATATAAATGACTACGAAACCGTTCCATTTAGTGTAGGTATAGATGAGAATGAAAGGTTGAGAAGAATAGTTGCAGAGGAAACCACAATTTTGGATATTGAAGGAGGCCATGCTTGTGCAGCAAGCTTAAATAATGAACAACGATTTGCATATGATTCAATTATGGGAAAAGTAAATTCAAAATCAAGTGGGATCTTCTTCATAGATGGTCCTGGAGGAACAGGCAAGACCTTTTTATATAAGGCTCTCCTTACACCAAAAGTTCTACTTAAACCGTCGAGCACTAAAACTTTACACCCTACATGTACTAAAAATGTTGTCTACAAAGAAATTCTTTCTTTTATACATCTGTAGAACTATACCTTTTTTTACGAGTATTCTTTTGACATATCTTAGTCTCTTTTCATAACATTAAATTGAATATTATGAAAATGTATTTACATGCCACGAAAAATGGATATATTCTTGCATCTACAAACGAATATGTTGACTATATGCCCAGAATTTTACTTGACTAAACTTTCGATGAGATTTTTATGTACTATAATTTTC